TTTTTTCCGCCTCCCTATGATGATCTAAATAAGTTCATGAAACCATGGAAACAAGGTATAAAAAAAGTGTTGCCTTAAGGTTAAAGGTTAAGTAATTTAGATCTTGACCAAGTTTCTTATATTTACTGTCCCTACTATTTCACCATAGCATAACTTACGTAACTGGTGTCTGATGAGCATAAAATTTAGCAATTTGGTTGATATTGCTCGAAAGAAAAAAAAAAGAATTGTTATCATTAAGCATGTAGATTTCCTGTCTTATTCCTTGTTATCCTTTTCTGATAATTAATAATCTTCCTTAATACTTTTAGTTAAAAAGGTGTTTATGGTCAATAAAAACACAATTAAACAGTTATTTCTAGCTTTTTCCTTTGAATATTTGTTAGTCTAACATTTGCTTAGTGTCAATGCTCGATTAATCTGTATGGGATTAACAGATTTATTGAAAGGGATTAATTTAATTCAGGGTCAGAATAACTGGATCTACCACTGTCTCTTTGCATTCCATCTCAGTATGTCATTTTTTGTTCTATTTAAAGAGTGTTAGACACAATTATTCCAGAAGTACTTGTAAATTCTCATCTGTTTTTTTTTTTTATTCAGAAATCAACTTTTAAATGCCAATCAAACAAGACACAGAATGACTTTCAATATTTTATCAGACATAATTGTGACGTCAATGAATCTTACCATTCCTGATAGTTTAATGCATCTTTTATATAGCTTTTGCTATATATTTATTTATTTACTTTTATCTCATTATCCTTATAATTGGACTGCAATAAGGTGATTATAAAGTCATATGATTGGCCAAATCCAATACCATATTAGGAGTTTAGTTCCTCAGCAGATTTTTTTTTTTATTTGTTTCTATGATAAAAAAAAAAGTTATTGAGTCATCCTCATTCTCATTTCAGTTATTCATATGACTGCTTATATAGTATTTGTCAAGAATCTTCTATCTCTACCAAAATTTATGCCTTGCTATTTCTATTCTTCATTTCATTTTTATCTTCTTGCAAAAACGACCTTGTGAAAAACACCAATATGGTGGTACAAGTTTTTTTTTCTGTTTTAAAATAAAGTTGTTGTTATAGGATGCATAAAACCGTAGTTATTTTTAAAACACTAAAAATGGATTTTTGTTATGTCCAGTGTTAATTCGCCATGACAACGAGGGTTGAGACTTACCCTAATTTTTTTTTATTTTTTATTTCTGTTTATTTGATTTGCATTTCTGATTTGCATTTCTGTTATGTATGCATCACTGAAAGTGCTATCACCTTAAACAAGAACAATAAGCTATCGTCTGCTACTGTACATCAACCAGAAGAGGGGGGGGGGGAAAAAAAAAAAATCATTTTTTTTTTCTATTTTATATTTTTATTGTCTTTGTTATTGTTATTATTTTTACCATAATATCAATAATTATTGTATTATATTATCTTTTTTTTCATTTGCATTGCTTTTAAACATTTTTTTTTACAAAAAGTGTTATATATTTATTTAATTGCAAGAATTAGACTAAATTACAAATGAAATTTCCCCTTAAGGGAACATATTTGTAGGAGGCACCGGTCTTAAATGGGTTTAGCCGCATTATTGGTGGGAGAGATTAGCATACAGTGGGATTTAGCTATGAGGCCAAAGCACTGTCAGATCAAGGTCCAATGAACAAGTACACCAGGGAACAATGTCGGATGTGACTATTAAAGCAAAGATTCACAGTAGGAGATAGGAAATGGATACTTGTCCAGTTGCCCCGGGGCTAGTAGGTACATGCCTGCCTGCCGGAGGACATTACAGCCTGCCAAGGCTGAGGAAGTTGCTTGTTTTACCTTGCATGTTTTGACAAGCTTTTAAATGTATTGATTAAAGAGATTAAACAATTAGACTATTAAACCAAGAATTTAGATTTGCCAGGGAATTACTTCATTGATGGGACATTGAAGCATCACCCACTATTAGGCACGTTCAGATGATTCAGAAGGAAGCTTTGAAGAAGCAGTTTTCTTGTTGTAAGCCCTGGGTAGTGCCTGTGAACAGGGAGATGTAATCTCCCTGCTGTGAAGATGCTCTTTGTATTAAGTTACTTCAACCTTACTACAGACAATTTACTCCTGAGAAGTGTCAGGAGTAAGTGTGCTACTTCTGCGTACACAAGAAAGATAAGGAATACGCGCTTGTGTAGACACTTATTTCAGAGAAGATAGTATAATACATACTCCACGTCATCATGTCGGGATTCACTATTTCAACATTAATTATGTCATCATCCTGATGATGACATAATGTCGAGTATGTATTATACTATCTTATCTGAGATTAATCAGTGGACCTTTCTGTTCTTACTTCTGAGCTCACACGTAAATGCGACCTTTATTTTGACCTCAAAGTTTTTCAAAAGATAAATACCTACAAATGAGTTCCAAAATAACATTTCCTGTGATGTTTAAGCCTTTGTTCCTCAATTCCCTTCCATAAAATAGCTTCACGATAACAGGCTTTTTTTAGTCGGTATGCAGACTTTTAAGACATTATTTGATTAACATCTGGTTATGTAATTTTGATTTTTGAGTGAGAAACGCTCAGTCATCAGATGATTATCATCATCATTATCGTCGTCACTGACACCATCATCATTTTCATCATCGTCTTCATCAATATTATTTGTTAAAAACCAAAACATTCTATACTACCAATTTGGATTTGATGTCATTACACTTTTTGCAGAACCATTACATTAACATTTGAAATACCTGTCACAGAGTATAAAAATAGCTCAAAGTCCATTAACAAGTCATTTTAAAATAAATATTACAAATCCCGATAATGGTTCATTTACGTCATCACAATTGTTTCATTATAACCAACCATGAACCAACTGACTACTTGTAAATAGTTATCTCAATTAACCAATGGACTGTAAGTGTTATTCTTACTTAGCTGTAGATTTTTTTTTTTTTAGCGTAAGAATAAATAAGAATAAATCATGATTTTTAATGAGTACCTACTTTTTTCATTTTGTCTATTACATATGTTAAGTGTAAGTATCATATTATTTTATTTTATTTTGTTTATTTCTTCATTCCATTGATTTGTGTGTTGTTGATGAAACAAGAACAGTAAGTAACCCACAACTCAACTACATGACATATTGAACTTTAAAGTATATAATTCATTTTTTTTAGTCAATTTGGAAGTTTGTTGTGTTTGACTAAAATATTATTATATATTATTATTAAGTGGAGTCAACAATAATTATAATGATTGTTCTACTTTTAAGCTCTGGATAAATATCAAATTTTCTTTGACAAAAAAGTGTTGTATGATCATATAAAGTAGTGATGTGCTTATATATGGTCATGATGTGCCTATATATGGCCATGATGTGCCTATATATGGTCATGATGTGATGTCATCATGTCACATGCTTTTGTCAAATAATATTTGGTTGGCTGGACAGGGCTTTATTGACATACTCCACATCAAATGCGATGATGTGTTTAACTGTTATTTTTGTTCATGGGTTCTGAAACTTTGCCATTAACTCTGACCCACTTGGACTCTAAATTTTCTTGCATTTGCGTCTTGGACTTTGACTTGGATAGGATTCTGTTTTTTCATTGGGAAATTTAAATTATTGCTTTTCTGTTTTGACCCACTAAATATTTCCCTTTTTTTTTACTTTAATAAGCTTTTTTTGAGTGACATGCACATGACCGGGAACAGAACTCGTACAAGATTCATAGTTTCAATAATCAATTGAGGTGCCAAAGAAAATGTATGTATTTGTGGATTAACCTGGTTTTAATTGCCAAATTCCATGAGGATCCAGCTGGAATAAAGATTTATCAAATGCACGCAAGGAAGTTTTGAGCTTGACTCATCGCAAAATTTCTGTTGGTTGTTGTAGGCCTAATATTTTTAGTCTTAGCCATTTATTAGTTGAATGATTGCCAAAATAATTGACGTTTTTTTCCCATTTATTTAACTTCCTATTGATCTGAATCATTTCTGAATGAAGCCGGAATAATTGTTGCATGATGTCTTTCCTTAGAAAGTGATAATAAACTAATATAGACTGCACTACAATACAGTATAATACAATAATCTTTTATTTAAAGCAATGAAACAGAATAGAGTTCAATACATTATCTTCATATTAATGAATTTGCAAGAAAAGGACGGAAACTGAAGGAAAACACTATTGTTTTCCACAAAATAATTATAATATATTTCTTTATACAAGGCTAGAAAATGTAAAGAAAGAATAAATGAATGTGTATATATATATATATATATATATATATATATATATATATATATAGATTAAAAGACAAAATACTGGAAAACAACAATGCTGTGGGAAACAATGGCTGGATCTCAGTAGAGATACAAAAATGATAAGCAACAGCTAAAAAGTAAACGTAAGTAAACAGCCAGAAATAGAACCAGAGCTTTCGGACAACACTAGTCCTTCCTCAGTGGCGAGTGATATATATATATATATATATATATATATATATATATATATATGGAAATAGAACAGATTTTAGTTGTTTACTTATATTTTAATTTTTCTTTATTGTTTCAAAACTAAAGAAACAATATATGTTTTATTCCACCATACTACAATATATAACATATATATTAGACTGACTTTATAGATTACTTCTATGCTTTTGGATAGTTTATACTTAGAATAAGGGAATCAAATACATCAGAATAATGGGCTCAACTGAAGGTTGAATTGAGAACTACTGTATATATTTCCCAATTAATGTAATGAAATACGATGCAATCAGAATCAGTTATTAGAAATTAGGCTTCAGGGAACCAATGCGGCACCTTTGATTTT